GGAGACCCAGCCTTTGTTCAAGTGGCCTCAGCCATCTCAGAGCTGCCTTCCTTGAGCCAGACCCAGCCACGACTGTGGCACTGTGTGGCATTGGTTTTCCCTGTACAGCAGACCCTGCTAACTGTTCTGTGCCTGTGATGGGGAGATCTGGAGGATGCCCACGGGCCTGCAGAGTATCTGGCCTTCAGTATACAGGGAGGATTTGGGCTGGGAGCTGCCTGGTTCTCCTGAGAGTGGAGAGCCAGGGGCGGGGGTGTAGAGTGGGCCATGGCCAGTGCCCAGCTGCATGGGCTGGGCCTGGGGTTCTCGGGGCTGTGTCTGGTGGCATAGACGACTCGCAGGGCCAGGCCATCTCCATCCTGGGGCCTGGTTTTGCTTTGCGGTGAGGGTCTGTGTGCTCAGCTGAGCCTGAGGGCCTTGCGAGATATGGGCAGTTTGCACTGTGGTGGCCTCCCTCACCCAAGGCCTTCCACAACCCACTCGGGACAGAGGTCCTGCCTGGTAGGATGGGCAGGCCCGTCTCTGTCCAGGTCTAAGGGCTCCTCCCTGTGTCCCCTCTGTTGGCTTCCTGGGGCAGGTTTCTCCCTGCAGGCCCCAGCCCTGATCTCTAGCAGTGCAAACAGCAGTTCTGAAGATGAAGTACAGTGAGACAGAGACGTACAACCACTGAGTGCAGGTTACCCCAGGCCTGGAGGAACCACACACTTTGGAATGTGGTGGAGGCCTGCTCCAGAGTGGAGGGCAGGCTGGGGGAGTTTTGGGCCCTGCTTGTGTTCCCGCTCCTCCCTTCTCACAACTGTTTTTCTTTCATTACTTCAGTAATTGAGCTGAAAGCTGAGGATCGGAGCAAGTTCCTGGATGCACTTGTTTCCCTCCTGTCCTAGGGTGAGTTGGGGGTTCTGCAGGGATGGAAGCAGCGGCCCTGCTCCTCAGAGCCTGACCATGATGCCCTGCTTTGTCTTCCCTCAACAGAGGCTTTTACTTGGATTTCAGACCAGAGCAGGGTTCTTGAGGAGATTGGGACACATTTTTCCCAAGTACATCTGTCCCTAGGCTGCCAGCAGAGCCACAATGAGGCATTTTGAGGCAGCTAATTTCATTAAGTCCCTGCAAACCCTTCAGAAAGAGCTGGTATTCACCTTCTGCTGACTGCACTCTGGGGCTGGGCATTGCGTGTGACACATGTCATGCAAAGACTCCCTGGTGCTGCCCTCAGAGGCTCCCTGGAGCCTCCTGTCAGCCTTTGGGTCAGGCCCTGGGCAAGATCCCGCAGAGCAGGCATCTGAGCTTTTGTTTGCTTGGCTTACAAGAAAGCAAAATGTTGGCAGCCGCTCAGCTGGGAATTCCAGAGCGCTGGTTCTGCTGGGACCTTCACCAGCACACAGCTGTCCTGAGGGCCCCGTTGGGAGTCACTGGCAGGCCACTGACCCAGGACACCTCCCACTGCCCCATGTGCTACCTCTTTCTTAAGTGTTCCTGGGAAATAGGTCTGCCCTGTGTCTTTGTGACCATTCCTTGTTCCCACAGGGAATGCCACATCCAGCCCTGCATCTTCCCGAGCCCTAGCCTGGAGGCTGCAGCTGTGGCAGATGGGCCCTGCCATGGCTCTGTTGCAGGAGGTCCCTTGGGCCAGGCCTGGGGTCCTTCCCACTCTCCATCCATCTGTTTGTCCGGGGGCAAGCACCTGTTCTCCTGTTGGGGCTGGAGTGAGGGCTTCTGCTGGGACCAGCATAGGGGCCTCAGGGACCTCACAGTTCCTCTCAGGGTGGCCTGGGCTACACGGGGCCCATGTTGGGGGAGGGGCTCTGGGTTAGACCCTCAGTGTTTTGGCCAAGTTCTGTAGGCTGATCAGCAGTGATCTTGGACCAGCCACCTGATCAGGCTTAGCCTGTCTCCAGCAGCGGAGTGGGCACTGAGAGCAAACCTCTCCCCTTCAGCCTGCTTGATGATGACATTAAGCTGTTGTGTGTCCTGCCACTGAGGCAGGGATACAGGTGGCCTGGTCCAGGAGAGCTGAGCAGCAGTGCTGAGGGATGGAGGAAGAGACCCCATGGGAGGGAGCCAGGGGTCCGGCTGAGCAGCTGGGCGGGGTCCACAAAGTGAGAAGGTGCCCAGGCCAGCAGGCAGGAGCTCTGATGTAGGACAGCTCAGCTCAGGCAAGGGGTGCTGTGAGGACAGCAGGGCCTCTCAGTCTGGGGTGGCCTTGCCCTCACGAGTAGTCCCGGCTACTCAGAAGCACTACCCAGAGGGAAGACCTGGGCAGTTTGTTTAATTTGGTGACACATCAACATTGTTTGAAACTTGTTTTTTCTTGTTTTCTTTTCTAGAATTTGATTTCTTCAGGAATAACCTTCTTCTTATTTATATACCTGGTTTCATTTAGATTGTAAGTTATGGATGTGATTTAAGATGCAGAGGGCATTTTTTATTAAATAAAGTGCTTATTTTAGGCTCCATTTCCATCGTGATTCTGGTCTTGAGGCCAGTGCTTGGGTGTGCCCTGAGCCTTCTGTGGTTCCAGGGAGCCCTAGTCCTGGGCCCCAGGTGCCCTCAGCGCCCGGCAGGAAATTAGCATGGGGATTGACCCCAAGGACAAGATCTCCTAATTCTGTCCTCCAGGCCCTCCAGGTGGCAGTGGGCAGAGATCAGGACCCCTCAGCACCCTGCCTCCTGAGAGCACCTGAACTAGCCACTGCCCAGTGGTGCCAGCCCGTACCTGGCTTTGTTCACTTACCACTTTCTCCTGTCCACCTGGCCTCAGCCACATAGCAAGTCTACTCTCTCAGCCACTCCTCCCTCATGTTTCCCCACCCCACCTCGTGTCACTGTCCAGCAGTCATTCAGGTGCCCCACCCTGCAGGCACACAGTGGGCACACGGCACTGCAGAGGAGGGGATAGCAAGGGGAAGGCCCAGCTGGCTAGGGGTGCATGGATGGAGGGAGACACTGCTCCCTAAAGCCTCTGGTCACAGAAGTCCCACCTGGACAGGACCTTAGTGACCTCCATGGCCTTCAGAGAAGTGAGGGCTTCCCAGTCAGGGGAGTCATGGAGTTAGCTTGCAGACATTCCCCAGAACATCACTGAGTGTTGGGGGTGGGAAGAGAATGAGGTTTCTGCCCTTCCTGGTGGGGAGAACTGTTCATTGACTGGGGCCATCTCACCCTGTCACCTGGGGACACAGGTGTTGAAGCAGCAGGCAGGCTGGGGAGGTGTCCACCTGTGTGAGGCATGAGGCTACTGGGCCAGCAGCTGTGTTGGGTAGGGTCTTTGAGGGCAGGAGTGATTTGGTTAGGTTTTGAGTCAGCCGTGAAAAGCTCAGAGTGGCCTGGAAAATTGTACACAGGTGGGTGGGTCTGGTCTTGGTGCAGCCCTTGGCAAAAGGCAGTGGGCACAAAAGGGTCAGAGTTGGACTGGAGGCCAGGCTCCTCCCCTCGCCTCTGATGGTTTTCACAGCTCCCAGGGCCTTTGAGCTGCCCACTCCGGCCATTTGGGAAAGTTGAGAGGCTGTGCAGCCACCTTTCTTTGCTCTTACTTTCTTAGAAAAGGGCTTGCATAGCATGCAGCCCTCCTGGGCAGCTTTGGACCTCAGCTTCTGACCAAACGCACCAGACCCAGTACTACCCAGCCCCACTGACCGGGTGCAATACTGTAGAGTTTCCATTTCTGTCCATGGCCACAGCTCTGGGATCACACACTGCCAAGCTTGGGGACTGTTCTTGGTCCCTGCTATACAGGCCCAGGTGGGGCACACATCAGGGCTGCTGAGGACCTCTGCACCATGTTGCCCCTCTCCCTATAGCTCATCCCACCCGCTGGTTCCACAGCAGCTCCCAGGAAACTGCCACACATTCCAGCAGCTGTCCTAAGCACCTCTGAGTCCACATTCTTGGGGTTCTCCCACTGCCCCATGATGGTAGCCTGGCCAGACCTGGGAGACTCCCTGCCACTAGATGTGGCCTAGTCATTTCTGGGCAGGTCCCCCAAGGCCAGGTTGGGGAAGATGCCAAGTTTTCCTGCCGGCTGGGCTTAGAGCTTCTTCCTGTAACATGCCCCCTTCATCAGCTATTCTTCTGCTTCTAGCTTTATGTCAAAAGTTAAAAATGTATTAATTCAAAGTGCCTAGAACAAGGCTAAAAACACTGAGCTCTCAATAGCTATGCTAGATGGCACCCACCCACACCCCAAGGTGCCTGGCAGGGGCTAGCACTGACTCCCAGGCCATGCAGCCCCCAGAGGAAGAAGGTTACCTAGGGGGCCCCTCAGGAGCTAGCACAGGTGCTAGTGGTCAGCACCAGTCTGAGCAGGCTGCCAGGCCACTAGAGTGGGCACAGGCTCTGTAGGGAGCTATGCCGAGACTGGCAGAGGAGTCAGGACGAGGGGCTGAAGCCAAGCAGTGCTGCACTCCAGGCAACCAGCTGCCAGCACTTCCTCCCATGGCAATGCCACTGTTGTCCGGCGCATCCTGCATTCATCCCTGTTCCTGCCCCACCCATCATTGGAAAGGGCCTGCTTGGGGGTTCTACAGACTTCTGTGGCCACTTGATGGGACCTGGGACTAGGCAAGCCCTGAAATCGCAGTGGAAAACCTCACCCTGTGCTGAATGAGGCTCGGCTTTTTCTGGGAGAAGCCAGCAGCCTAGCTACTCATCCCTAGCACTTCTCCCATCACAGGACCCCCACTCACCATCCTGTGTTGAGGGCGCTTCACCCTGCATCATCTGCTGGGGTCTGCCACCGCTCCCACCCCTGTCCCAACCCAGGTCCCCTGACAAAGTAGCAGCTCTTCTGACTGCAGATCCCATCTTTCTGGGCTGTAGTAAGTGGTGGCTGTGTCTCCTACCTGGTGGGAAAGTGGCAGGGAGAATGGGAATAAGGGCCCCAGCCGCCAGCCCTGGGAGGAGGTCTCCACAGGAGTCCCTGGGAAGGTGGGGCTAGTGGGTGATGAATGGGGCTGCTTGACACGGAAGATGGCTGGACAGAGAACAAGACACAGGTAGGAGAGAGTTCAAATTATTTACTAAGCAGATTTTTAGCCTTCCCACTCCCCCCTGCTCTCAAGCTCCGGTGCCCACAAGCCTTGCCTGGGGAAATGATGAGTGAGACCGGGAGGTCCTGGCCAAGTCACTGGTCCTGGCCTCAGGCCCCGCCAGTGGGGTAAAGACCAGCTGTACAAATCTCTCTGGTGGGGGCCCTGGGCTCTCCATCCGCCCCTCTGAAGTCAGCAGGAGCCTCTAGGAAGTAAGGCAGCAGCCAAGACCCCCAGCGTCTTCGGCGGAAAGTGGCATCCTCAGTCTTACACCGGCTCTGCCTATGGAAACCGCCGCAAACAGAAAAGGAAACTGTCTAAGTCCATCTGTTCAAGGTAGGGCTCGGCTGGTGGCAGGAGAGGGCCGGCTGCGGGTGCAGGCAGGCCAGGAGCTGCGTCTGGGTGCAGAGCCGGACGTTCCGCGGAGCCTGCAGGAGGTGCGACCCAGCAGAAGCCGTGGTCCCTGTGGGGCTCCCCAGGCTCATCCAGTACATCGCAGGCGTGGCTGGCAGGAGGGCCCCGCCATGCCTAGTGCCCTCAGACGTAATTCTTCTTGTCGTAATCGCCGGTAGCCGTGGGCCGCCGCGGCGCGGAATACTTCACAGGGAAGCTGAAGTCAGGACGGCCGGTGCAGACCCAGGCGCCGCAACACAAGAGGCCGCCGCCTAACATGAGCAGCGCAGTGGCTGCCCAGCCGATGTACAACGCTGCACCCAGCTCGTACTTCTGCGACACGGGTACAGTCGGGTCGTAGAATTCGCGGACGACAATGTTGGCGAACCAGCAGAGCGGCACGAGCGCCAGCAGCCCACAGAGCAGGTAGAGCACGCCGCCCGTGAGCGCCACACGCGCCTTGGCGGGGCCTGGGGCCACGCAGGTGGTGCACTGCGCGCCCGCCAGGGTCACGAAGAGCGCAACGAACGCCAGCAGCACGGCGCCCACGGTGAGTGCCCGCGCCGCCTGCACCTCGGTGCTCAGAGCTAACACCGAGTCGTACACCTTGCACTGCATGTGCCCCGTGCTCTGCACCACGCACGACATCCACAGCCCCTTCCAGGTGGTCTGCGCCGTCACGATGTTGTGGTCCAGGAAGGCGGTCACCTGCCACATTGGCAGCCCGCACGCCAGGATCAGACCCCCCCAGCCCACCAGGCACAGCACCAGGCCCAGGATCTCCAAAGCTGCCGACCCCATGGCTAGAGGCGAGATGCGCGCCCGACGTCCCCCAGAATTCCCAATGTGTGGCACGGCGCCCTGGGCGGGCCCTGGTGCCTTTACGCCCGCGCTCCCGGCTCCCGGCCCCAGCCCGCTTGCCCCGCCGGTCAATCGCACCTCCTCGGTCTGCCGGCTCAGGCCGGGAGGTACCCTCTTTGAAGGTTCGGGGGCGGATTCTGTCCCCCGGGCCCGGCCCCCTGGCCCGAAGCAGCCAATCCGTGTGCAGGCCGCCGTCCTGCAGCCAATCACAGAGCCCCTGGCAGCTAAAGTTAGGGAAACAACGGCGTTTGGGGGTAGCTGAGGGCGCGGGACAGCTCCCCGCCCGGCCGCCGCCCCCCGTGTTGTCCTAGTAGCGGCCGAGCGCATTCTGTGGTGGGCTTCTTAGGCCGCCTCCCTGCGTGTCCCGGCTCCGTCACTTCAGAAGGCACTTGACCCCCAGCCCGCACCACCCGATTCACCCCCACATCCCCTACTGAGCCCGATAGTCTCTTCCACTGGGGTCCACTCCGCTCCCTGACCAAGGTTTGCAGGAGCCCCCCCACCCCATCACTGCTGAAGAGGCCTGCGTAGGGGGCTCTCCAGAAAGCCCACGCCGGAGTCCAAGCCCCACCCAGGCCCTTTCCAGCACTCTCACTCTCCAGCCCCGCTCTGAGTCCCGGCACTCTTTCTCCCACCCCATGGCAAACAGACGCCAGGCAGTCAAGTGGAGGTCAAACCCAGAGCCCCAGCATCACCCCCCACACCACTCACTGCCTCTCTGGAGCCTGAGTCTCTGGAACAAAGTGGTGGCAATAGGGGCTTTCCCCTGCCTGGCGACTCCCACTCTCCCAAGCCGCAGGGGCTTCCCAGACCTCTCAATCTTCACTGGGGCTGCTCCTCTTTCTGCAGTATTGCCCGCACCCCATCCTTGGGTTCCCAGCTCAGGTGACACCACTTCAGGAAGTCCCAGTGACCCAGCACACTGGGTGTGCACCCAAGGGCAGTGGTGGCCCCGGGCCTAGCAGCCTGCTCTGGCGTTCAGACAGGAGAGACAAAGGGACACAGAGGGGCTGTGCCCTGCCCTCCCACCAGTGGCAATGGTGTCCCTGGCACCCCAGCCCCCAGGCCAGCCTCCGGAAGCCAACTTGGAGTTTCCTGGCCAGGAGGAAGAGCCCCCATCCTTGCTGGAGGAGGGAGGTGCGGGATTTCCGGGCATTCTTCTGCACAATGGCCTAGCCATTTCTCGAAAGGTCCACTGGGGTGGACACTCCAGGCCCCCTGAGGCTCAGGTGGGGGCACCAGGCTCCAAAACCCACAGCCCCATGGGGGTACCAGCTCCTTTCTGGCAGTTCCCTCCCTAGTCTCTGTCGGCTCCTTTGTTTCCAGTCAAGTTTGGACTCCAGGCCCTGGAATGAGGCCACTGGGTGCCCCGTTCTTTTATCTGGTTCGTGCTCAGTTCCATTGAACAGGACCCCCATAGAAAAAGTATGGCACTGAGGCTGGTCACAGATGTGGGGGCTTTGATGACTCTCTCCCTCCTAGGGCCGGGTTCCCTTCTCCCTCTTCAGGTGGTTCTGAGACAGTAAATGAGATAAGGCCAGCGCCGGGGCCTGGCTCGCCCAGCGTGGGGAAGCTCTGAAGGCAGGTGTGCCCAGCTCTGGGGCTGGAGGGAAATCCTACCCTCTTTGCTCAGCTGCACGTGGCCTCTCCCTACCAGATATGGCTCCAAGGACCACTGCCTTCTCCCAGCTGTCACTTCAATCGCTGCTGTCCTCCTGCTGCAGACCCATGGGCCACGCCCCTTCCTCTGCAATCTCCTCCTCTGTCCACTCCATGGGCCCAGCTGACCCATCCACCCTCTCACTCTTACTACCCACTAGCCCAAGCCCAGGAATCCACTTACTACCCACTCCCAGCCCTCCCATGCCATCTTCCTGAGATGACTGCTTTGGCCTCCTCCATCAGGGACCCACCCTTGCCCAGCTAGGCCACCCTGGCAGGCCCCTCTCCTCGGCCTCACCCTACCTAAGACCCACCATGGCTCACATTGCCTATGGACCATGAGCCAACTCCCGGAATAGCCCGGATTGATATGTACTTGCATATGCAAGGACTGGCCAGTCTAGCCACCAGGCTTGGCGTGGCCCTGAGCACACACTCTACTCCAGCAGACTCACCTGCCTGTGAGCCTCCTCTGCCTGCAGTGTGGGTCTGTCAGGTTGGGTCCTGCTTATCTTCTAAGTTGTGTTGCTGAGGTCGCTTCCAGGAACACTTTGCTGCACCATCCCCCAGCATTGCTTTTAGAGGCTTGAGCTGGACCTGTCCATTTGCTTGTTGACTTTCCTGCCCAGTATCCAGGAATAACCTCCACAGGGCGGCTGTCTTCTTGCGTCCATCCCACACAGGAGGCTGCCTGTCACCCTCTAGCCAGCTCGGGGTTGCAGCCAGCCCTGGGCTCCCCCTCCTCACCTGGCTGCCTGTTTTTCTTTTCTCCTAGCTGGCACCCTAGGGTGGCCCCAGCAAGCTCACGCTTCTTTGGCAGCAGCCTCGAAGCATCTGAGAGATGTGGCAGAGGAGTCTCGGGCTTCACCTTTCACAGTCTGATTTCTACCCCGACCTTACTGTGTTGGTGGAGGCCCCAGGCTGCAGTGGAACCAGTCCCAATGCAGAGAGGCCCTGAGAGGGCCGCAGGGGCTGACTTACCCTGGACAAACCCACCTCAGATGGAGCCTGGCCTCTGAGTAACCCAGACCAGACTCAGGAGAGGCATGAGGGTGCACCCACCCTTCCTGCCACTCATGGAGGGTCTGCCCACCTGCTGTGTGGCAGGCACTGTCTCTAGGCAGAGTATACAGCACAGGAATCTCCTGTCCAGAGGAGCTGACAGGAACCCATCAACCAAGAACTGGGCAGGAAAGAGTGGTGAAGGCCTCTCTGAAGAGGTGACATTTCACACAGATCCAGGGAAGAAGTTCCAGGCAGAGCAGAAGCAATAGCCAAGTGCAAGGTTCCAGAGGTGGGAAAGGGCTCGGCATTCAAGAAGGGCCTTGTGTCCAGAGTGCCACGGTGGTCCAGGGCCTGGAGGTAGAGGTTGGAGGTGTCCTGGTTGGGCAGGGACACAAATCCCTGATCTCTGGCGAAGGGCCCTTGGGAGAGAGTGCTGGCCAAGGCCACCTGCTCACCCCCAGCCATTGTTCTGCTTTCCCAGGGGAAGTATGGCAGGATCTCATTAATTGTGTGTGAGAAAAGCCTGAGTCTGCAGAAAAGTCAAGTTTATCTTGAGCAGCTGCTAGCTGACCCTGCCCCAGAGTAATCCGGTGACCTTCCAAGGATAAGCTAAGTTTAGGGTCCAGATTCCTGGGACTGGGGTTTGGGAAACTCTTAGTTAACAGACTTGGTTTCAGGGTAAGTGAAGAACAACGTTTCTTCTATCTTTCGGTTTTGAAACAGTTAAGGATGTTTCCTTCCATTTCCGCAGATCTTAGCACGGAGTGTGTCCTGGAGCCCTTTTTTGACACAAGCCAGTACTCCTGCAGGCCAAGAACAGCAGCTGGGGTCCTCCCGCATCCCTGAGCACTGTACCAGGTGCCCGAGGCACCCTGCATGGGGTCCCTGAGTGGCTCTGATGATGTGAGCAGCAGCATCCAGAGTAGGCAGTGCCAGACTCAGCGGTTTTGCTGGCATTGTTATTACTCTTTCTGGTGAAGCACAGGCATGGAGTCAGATTTGCCCCCCACAAGAAGAAACTTTCTGGATTAGTGAGGTGGCCTCTCTGCCTTAGTTCCTCAGTGGTAACGAAGCCCTCCAATGTGGAGGCTGATGCCAGTCCCGGTTCTTTTTTGCCATTCCCGGTTCTTTTTTGCCATTCCCGAGTGCCACCCACCCAGGCTTTCTGGGCCTTCACAGCTTATCTAACTTCAGCCCCGCCCCTCAGTAGGCAGGCATCGCTGGCTCTCAGTCAAAATTGGAGGTCACTGTGGCTTTAACTTCCCCAGCAGGCGAGGGAGCAGAGAGCTCCGGTGGGATCCACAGAGGTTCAAGGGGTCTATAAAATGGCGAGCCAGGCCAGGCATAGAGGCTCGTGCCTGTAATCCCGGCACTTTCGGAGGCCGAGGTGGCGGAATCGCCTGAGATTAGGAGTTTGAGACTAGCCTGGCCAACATGGTGAAACCTTGTCTCTACTAAAAATACAAAAATTAGCTGGGCCTGGTGGCGCGCACCTGTAATCCCAGTTACTTGGGAGGCTGAGGCGGGAGAATCGCTTGAACCCAGGAGGCGAAGGTTGCAATGAACCAAGATCACACCATTGCACTCGAGACATAGCGAGACTCCATCTCAAAAAAAAACAAGTCCACCAAAGTACATCATAAACCAAATTTCATAAAACAGGTGCTAAAGAGAAAGTCTTAAAAGTATGGAGAGGAAAAAGACACATTGTGTGTAGAGGAATCAGGATAAGGATAAGATTTCTTGTTGGAAACAATGCAAGCAAGAAGACAGTGTAGCAGTATCTTTAAAGCACTGCAAGAAAAAAATTCCCTGTAACTTGAGATTCTTTTTCTTTTTTTTAGACAGGGCCTCACTTTGTCACCTAGGCTGGAGTGCAGTGGCACAAAGATGGCTCACTGCAGCCTCAGCCTCTGGGCTCAAGTGATCCTCCCGCTTCAGCCACCCCAGCCCCCTGATAGCTAGGATTACAGTCATGCGCCACCACACCCGGCTTTTCTTTTTTGTGTGTGTGTATTTTTTGTAGAGATGGAGTTTCACCATGTTGTGCAGGCTGGTCTCAAACTCCTGAGCTTGAATGATCTGTTCACCTTTGCCTCGCAAAGTGCTGGGATTACAGCATGAGACACCGTGCCCAGCCTTAACCTAAAATTCTACACTCATCAAAAATATATTTCAAAAATGAAGGCAATACCACGTCCATGAATGAGCATGAAGGAAATAAATGAAGGCGGCCAGGTATGGTGGCTCACGCCTGTAATCCCAGCACTTTGGGAGGCCAAGGTGGGTAGATCACCTGAGGTCAGGAGTTTGAGACCAGACTGGCCAACGTGGTGAAACATTATCTCTACTAAAACTACAAAAATTAGCTGGGTACGGTGGCAGATGCCTGTAATCCCAGCTACTTGAGAGGCTGAGGTAGCAGATTTGCTTACACCTGGGAGATGGAGGTTGCAGTGAGCTGAGACTGTACCCCTGCACAACAGAGTGAGACTCCATCTCAAAAAATAAAAAAATAAATTTTTAATGAAGACAAAACAGACTTCTGCTTCCTAGAAGACAGACATATGTTTCCCTATTCCTTCCACAAATAAAAACCCTGAACATTGGAAATAAAGCAAACATAAGAAGATTCTAAGTGTTACAAAGAAGGCAGATAAGCTAGACTTAGAGCCAAGGATGAAATGGTGGTGTTTCCCTGGGTTGTTTTTTTTTTTTTGAGATAGAGTCTTGCTCTTTTACCAGGCTGGAGTGCAGTGGCATGATTTCGGCCCACTGCAACCTCCGTCTCCCAGATTTAAGCAATTCCCCTGCCTCAGCCTCCTGAGTAGCTGGGACTACAAGCGCGTGCCACCATGCCTGCTAATTTTTTGTATTTTAGTAGAGATGGGATTTCACCATGGCCAGGATGGTCTCGATCTCCTGACCTCATGATCCGCCCACCTTGGCCTCCTCCCAAAGTGCTGGCATTACAGGTGTGAGCCACCATGCCTGGCAGGGTTTTTTGTTTTTGTATTCTTATTTTTTTAATTTATTTTAGAAACAAGATCTCATTCTGTTACCCAGGCTGGAGTACAGGGACACAACCATAGCTCACTACAGCTTTGAACTCCTAGGTTCAAGTGATTCTCCCACCTCAGCCTCCTAAGCATCTCGGACTACATGTATGTACCAACTACCCAGCTAATATATATTTTTAAAATTTTTTTGTAGAGATGATTCTCACTATGTTGCCCAGGCTGATCTTATAACTCCTGGTCTCAAGGATCTTCCTGCCTCAGCCTCCCAAAGCACTAGGATGACAGCCGTGAACCACCGTGCCCAGCCTCCTGGGTTATCTTTTTGACCCATGTATCCCAGACTGTATACAGAGGAGATGGACACCCAGAAGCACAATGGGTGCAGGCAAAAAATAAGTCCCAAGAAAAGCCCATTCTGTCTAGCCAGAACATTAGGACAAAGACAGACTAGCAAGACAAAAACATTTTAGACAATAACCATTCTACTCAAGTCAAACCACTTCAGAAAAAAACTGTGGCCCCAGCCCTGCCCTCAACAGCAAAGACCAGTGGGGAGCCTAGACTCCTACCCTTGCCAGCCTGTAACGAGATGCTCCAGCCTCCTACTGGGGTGTTAGAGGAGGCCAAGGAGGACTTGGGTGGAAATAAGTCCCCCTCCCCAACCACAGTGTCAGTGGAGACCACGTGAGGAGCCTGGACTTCCACTTCTAACATGGTAATAAGGCCCCCCTCCAGGTCCTCACTATGGTACTATCAGAGGAACCTAGTGGAGGATAAGGACATTCATCATTTTCCAGAGGTGATAAGGCTCTCCCTGCCCACACGTGGTACCAGTGGAGGCCACATGGAGATCAGCAGGCATCCCCCCTATCCATACCTGGAATATCACAGGAGGCTGAGTGGGGAGCAGGAAGCCCAGCCCCACCCAGCAGTCACAAGGATCCCCGTGGCCCCAAGTGTCAATGGAGGCAGGGTGGAGAACCTGGACTTCCACCTCCACCTGGAAGTAAAGTGTCCCTTGTCACTGC